AGTGTTATCAACATAATGACAACACTTATAGTTTTAAGATATTACTTTTAAAAAATCACGAAAAAATTATCGGTAAATATAGGTAAATATGGGTAAATATACCGGTATTATCGTATACCGGTATGACGTCATACCGGTATTTCTGCATTTCGGTTTGCATAAAGGTTTTCATAGTATTATCCAAAAATATCGGTACAATACCGGTATTTTGCATATCGGTATAAGTCCCTGTTCTAAACACAGTTTTGTCACGAACTTTCTATTATCATCGTCGGTAAACTCCCACTTGTAAACACTTTTCTCCCTGGACTGTTACCCCTCTTTTGTTATTACATTTGCTTTTCGATCATACGACGCGCAGAATAAAAGAGGTGTGTGCTTATTGATTTATTATCACAGAATAAAGACAAAAGAAAAAAATAACAATAAGTAATATTTCCGACAAAATTCGTTTTGACAGGTGAGAAAAGTTCTGTTGTTTATTTTATTTTATGTTTTACTTGTTACAAAAATAATCTACATAAATATAAATAGCATACATAGATATTGTAAAAACTTCACAAATACGATTATTTTCTACAAAAAACACGATGTCATATTTGTTCGAGATGATATATTTTGTATAAAATATGTGTCCTCTTGCATTATTAAAAGAAAAATAGTAAAAATCCAAACACTGAACTGAAAGAAAATGTTATTATACATACTTTTGTTTAAAAGTCTTGAACATAAAAAACTAGTTTTTTTCGATTGATTTGTAGTGCTGGAATGATATTAAACACTAACCGAGCGGATAAATTTGTAGCTATAATAAAATAAACCCATTCCGCTGAACTTCAGTGGGTGAAGCAATATTTGCAGACCAAACTGATAAATCTGTATTATGACGCATATTTTGTTATAAAACAGAGGTCTTCAAAAAAATAAGTAATCACAAAAATAAATTGGTAACTTTATATTACCATATCGTGCATATTCGCAAAATAAAGAAGATTTGTCAATCTATGAATCACAGTTCTGGTTTTTTCTGCCTAAAACAATGTAAAATAAACTTTTGCAAACAAAAACATTTGTAAAGTTTATATTTAATTAATTTTTTAGGTAAATTCAATTGCATAAGTGCATATTATACAGTAATGCATGTATTTTTGCAAACATGCATTAAAGTTTGTTAATAAACAATGTCAGATATATGTAATATAAAACTAATGTATAATGATTTGCAATTTTTTTTTTGCTATTTTACTTTTAATTCTTTTAAATTATATTGTATTGCTATTTTCCAATACTTTTTTTTGATTATATTTAGTTGCTATATTGTGATGTGTGTGTGTGTGTGTGTGTGTGCCAAATATAATTGTATTTTTTTAGACAAGAAGAAAAGAAGAAAGATTGAATAACAAATAACAATAGTAAAAGTACATCTTCTAATAAATTCCAGAAATTCATATTACCTTGTAACAAACACTTTCACAGATGTGATTTAATGATACAAATTTAACTAAAAAAAAAATAGTCCACATGTCAGTAGAAAGTGCAAGCATCCATATCGTTTTATTGCTCTCATATACGTGAAAGAGACATAATAGTGAACGATATTGAAAATATAATAATGTCAGGAAACCGACAAAATAAGATGCCATCTGCACAGTCATTTGCACTCCATAGAAAAAATTTATATTACGAGCTATCCAACAAAGTTCAAAATGAAGATGCCTATAAACAAAAACTGTTTATTATTTGATTACATGGTATATTATTATTTTGTATTATTTTTTATGTTATATATACTGTGATATAATTAGATGAATTTATTTTGTATGTAACATTACAACTATACAAGTAAAGAACATACTTGTCATGCACGATAAAAATTGTTTCTGTATAATTAATTTTTACAATTTTTTTACGTGTCCTTAAGATCCACAAAATGTTAATTACATTGCAGTCCACAACACATGCTTGCGATATTCTGTGTTTCGACCATAACGACGACTGACAGTAAGAGACTTTTTCCACATGCATCTTAACCCACAGTTTTCATTCTCTGAGAGTTGCACAATATGGTCGTTTATTTTATCCAACCTATTACCGATATATCTGTGATGGTAAAGAGTAAACACAGCTTATTTTATATATCTTTTTTTTGTACCAAAAAAGATAACATCTTAATGTGTTTTATTTAAACTTCTGTGAGTTTTTATAATAACAGTAATACATTACCTTAACATATACATAATTGTCAAGTCATGCAAAGTATTGATATGTACAGAATACTGTAGAATCCAAGGTATAATCAAATCAGATACTTTCATATTATTCTGCGTCAGAAACAATAAACCGTCGAAAGTATTTGTCAAACATACTATTATAAACCACGATATCAATGACCATTTTATCATTGTTCGTTCTTTGTCATACTCTTTAGATATTCCGAGCTCTACTAGTGTGTCATTTACAAGATCGAGTTTTCTTATGCATTCTCGATATTTCTATAAATAAAAATGTGATAAAAAACAACTATAAAAGCGAGATATATTACATTTTAAGATAAAAAACGTACAACTTGATTGCGTTTGATACTATATATAATAATATATTTTTAATACATTATGATTATAACTTTTTCTTATCTTTAAGATACCTAGATTTATAAATTATATTGCAAATTTGTAACTTTGACGTAATGGATTAGTATTGATTGACGTAATAGATTAGTATCATCAAAAAAATAACCAGTTTCAAGAAATATTTTATTGTAAAAATATTAATGCACACACTCACTCATTTACTCACTCACTCACTCACTCACTCACAGAAAGAGAGAAAAAGAGAGATGAGTAGCTTAATTTTGCTTAAATATTCTTTGCATAAGAGAAATGAAAAATGACATTTTATATGTTACATATATAAAATTAAAATTTTAGATATGTCACAACTGCAACATCAAATTTACAAAACAACTATAAATACCTTGTGCTTGAAAACTGTGATAAATAGTGATAATGTTGAAAGGAAAAAATTTATACTTATTGAAAAATTATTTAAAAATTTAATAATTCCTGCTGGCGATTTAATCATTACTAGTATATTACAGAGCGTCCAACTATAAACAATCCACACACTTAGTATATAAATAACACTCAAACAAAGTCTTGGATGACTTTTCGGATGTATATAAATTCCGCTACCCGTGAAAAAAGCAACTACAAAATAAGGATGCATAACTCTTTCCATAGTGTCCTCCATGATCACAACACTTGCAATTCGCTATGATAACTACTAGGTCTTAGCCAGTAAGTCGATGAATATTATTGTATACTTATCGCATTCATCAAGGTAATGACACTTAAGTAGAGTTTCACATTAACAGTATCGAATCAATAAGCTCAAATAGTAATATGAGCTTTTTCTAAAATGAAATAATCGATCGTATACAGTGTAGGAAAGAAAGAAAGACAGAATATTAACTCTTCAAGGCCAGAACTAAAAAATAACCTACGAGTTGTTCAGCCTAAGTCTCTGTAACCCACGCTTAAGGATTAAATAGTTCCGCAAAAAATCAGTAGTTTTTTATTTGTTTTTAATTAGTCGGAAGTTTGAACGATTCAGCGGCGATAAAAAAAATAATTGAAAAAATTTTTGGTATTTTCAAAGATATAAGCGTTAAAAAAGAACTTGACACTTTTTTTGGCAAAAAAACTTTCATAATTAAAATTTATTAGTTATTTTATAATTAAGATGTTTACAAAAGTCCAAAGCAGTATTGTAAAGAATCCTTCGTACTTTCCGGGACAAAAATGTCTTCTACAATTTGTAAAATTAAAAACGTTTTCACAATGAGTCTTTTAAAGCGTTTTTTAAAGAATGCAGCTTTTTTACGCCCAACTTTGACATGGAATATTGTAGCAATAAAGTAATTTTTGGATATAGTCTGTTTTTACTAAAAAACTTTTACTTACTTTTCGAACTGTCACCGTCTTGGCTAGACTTGGGCTTCTTAAGTGTTTTTTGCACTTCAACATTCAAACTTAGCAAAGCTAGTAAACAAATGACAAAGTCAACATTTTCTACCATTATTTAAAGCCCTAACGTTTTTTTCATGGTCTTTAGATGTCACGCTACATTAGTACGTAAACAGTAAGTTTTCGACTTTTGTATGGGTCTGGAACTCACCACAAAACAAAATCTTTTTATCCAAACCCACGTCTGTGTGTGTAGACTTGAAAGAGTAATCAGAATTAAATGTATAAATATATAAAAAAATAAAATTAAAAGAAAAAGAACAAAACAATTTATGGTCCAAGTTGAAAATGGACAATCAAAAACACTTTAAGACGCAATGTACAATATTACGGACGTTTTGATCAAATTTTATTGGTGATCATTTTCAGCACTGTATACACTGTAAAAATTAACAGAATAGAAAAACAGAAAAATAGAAACATAAAAAATGATAATAGAAAAAAAAACATAAGTTAAATAAAGATACATTCAAAAACATTTGACTAAATATGTACCAAACTCAACCAGTCATCACAAAGACCGATTGACCACTGGACTATTTGTATAATATTTAATCATTTATTTATTTGATTGTTTGTTGTAGACCTCTGATGCCTAGACATTATACTTTGATATTTAGTATGTCTATGTTACCTGTTGTTTTGTTTGTAGTGCTTGCCGGCGCGCAAAAAAGCGTCTTTGTGATGACTTGTCAAGTTAGGTGCGTACATATTAAAAATGTTTTGTATGTATCTTTCTATTTAACGGATGTTTTTTTATTGTCATTTTTTACATTGTATTAAGTGTCAAAAATGATTATTAATAAATTTTGATTAAACCGTTCGGTATACATTGCGTTTTAAATTGTTTTTGATTGTCCACTTTTAACTTAATAATTATTTTTTTTTATTAAAACGGTATTTAAATACTAAATATATAAATAGATTTCTATTTACAATAAATATATACGTACAATTTAGCAAATAGAGAAAATTAGGAGAATAAACAAATTTTGTAATAATATAATACAATTGTGTAATATGCGATGTGATTAAAATACTACACTTATATAAGTATTTGTACATACATTAATAGAGTAGAACGTCTCTTTTGTAAACACATTATTGTCACAAACTTTTCATTATTGTCATCAGCAACCTCACTTGTGAACTGTTTTCCTCCTGAGTTCTTATCTCACTTTTGTTATTTTATTCGCTTTTAGATCATACACGTGCAGAATGCAAGGTTTGCATATTAATTAATTATCAAAACATAAGAAAATATTATCATAACAAAAAAACATATTTTTGAAAAATGCATTTTGACAGTTGAGGAAATAAAAAAGTTCTGTTTCATATTTTTATTTTACATGTTTTACTTGTTACAAAAATAATGAAATCTACATAAATATACAATGCTAAATACTTAATATACAAACTTTACAAATACGCTTATTTTTCAGAAAAAACACAATGACACATTTGTTCCAGATGATATATGTTGTATAGAATACGTGTCCTCTTGCATTAGTAAAAGAAAAACAGTAAACATCCAGACAAAGAACTGAAAGAAAATAATAGAAATAAGTTGTTTAAAAGTCTTAAACATAAAAAACTAGAATTTCTCGATTTATTTATAGTGGTATTGAACACTAACCGAACGGATAGATTTGTAGCCAAAATAAAATAAACCCATTCCGGTGAACTTCAGTGGGTGAAGCAATATTTGCAGACCAAACTGATATATCTGTATTATAACGCATATTTTGTTATAAAACAGAAATCTATAAGAAAACAGGTATTTACAAAAGTAAAGTTTAAATT